AAAAAAAAAAAAAAAAAAAAAAAAAAAAAAAAAAAAAAAAAAAAAAAAAAAAAAAAAGAGCTAATTCTTTCAATAATGTTGATTGTTATTTGATTACAAAAAATAAAAAAAAACAATGTTTTATGCATAGACCAAAGGACATGGCGAGCTAAATTTGCATAATTTAAGATATATTTTTTTTAAAAAAAGTTGGAAAAAAAATTTTAGGAAATTTAAATTTACTATAGAAAAAAAATTTTCCTTCCACGTCATAAGCAAATAAAATTGCTTCAATCTAACTTTAAATTTTAAGAAACATAAAAACACTAAAAATATAACAAATACAGTACAGAACCCGTTATCCGGAAATCAGAAAACCGGAAAACCAAAAAACCGGAACGAAATTCGATAAATTTTCCCGCAATATTTAAAAAAAAATTTTTTTTTTTCTTCATAAGATTTTAGGATTTTTCTTTCTTTTTTGAAAGATGTTTACCTTACCATCATTTCAGAAATAATCATTAGTGTATTACCTCATCGTTTTTCCTTATTTTTAAGATTATTTCCAAATATATATATTTTTTAGTTGGGTTTGACACTAAAAAACGACTTCTTGTAGCGATTCAGAAAACCGGAAAAATCAGTTATCCGGAATAGCGATAGTCCCGATCGTTCCGGATAATCGGTTCTCTACTGTAGTAGTTTCAGCTAGATCTGAAAATTTGGTTAGCAGAATACAAATTATTTGATATTCAGACATCAAATTTTTCTTATGCAAAATCACGAGTTTAGTTAAATAACTTAATTATTACTTAACTATCAAAATATTTGATTAAATAAATCATAAACATTTCACTTCATATTAATTTTCATGTGCTTTTTTTCCTTTTTTTTGAACTGGTCATCATTTACTTATTAATGAAAGATTAAATAAATATTTAAAAATTTAGATACAATGTTTGTTTTTTTTATTTCATTTGTTAGCTCACATTTAGCTTAAGATTTGCTGCATATTTCAGGTTTACTTTTCATTGCAGCATTTTAAAAAAAGTTATATAAAAGTTTAAATTTCAATTAAATAAGACACTTCACTGATTAAATTAGAACTGTTTTAAAATTTAAAAGAAATTAAATAAGCATATGTACATCTTTAAATCATTATTGATTTCTATTAATTAACAATGGTAATAATAAAGAAGCTGGTTTTATTATAATAATAAAATATCATTTATTTTATTATGAAATATTTAATGAATTTCATATACATATTTAATGGATTATTTCTATTCCTTATAAATTATTCTATCTATAAATCTATAAATAGAAAAAAGTAAATTATTTGGTAGGCTAAATGTTTTGCTAACAGGCAATTCTCTCAATTATGAATGTCATATTTGTAAACATTATATATATACATATATATTTTTTCTCAGTATTGCGCAGGTGATATTTAATATTGAATTTTATTAAATAAAAAAATACTTTATCATTTGAAACATATAATGTATCAATTAAATTTTAAAAAATATTAATGGAAAGAATATTATAAAATAAAGACTATGTATTTGAAAATAAGGAATGTTTTAATCTAGACCTTAAAAAGGGCAGGATGCTGGAAACTGGAAAGAGCATTTAAAGAGCTCCTTAAATAAGGACATCCCTCACAAAAAAGAACATTGCATTTTCTAAAAATCTGCATAGCCTTCAAAAACTCAAAATATAAGAAGTTCTTAGTTTTCTTATAAAATCTTATATTCAAAGAGATAGTTTAAAAAATTTTTAACATTAAAATAATTACGCAAATAAATTATCGCATTCAATAAACCGGTTTCAAAATTCGCATAATTCTCATATTTCTAATATGTTCTTCGGCGTATTAAAAATATCTGGATTTTAAAATTGATGTCAAAATGGCAGAAAAATGATAAGTAACAGTAATAACTGCCATAAAAGTGATCAGAATTTAATGAGGATTTGAGACGGAATTGTCGTAAATTTAGCGCTTAAGAAATTGATTACTAAAATATGAAATTCAATAGAGGTAACTCCAAAGACGGACCAACCACCAGTAACGGCTATTTTACTGAGAAAGAGAGCAGTCGCTTTTAAAAGATTTTACTGCACTGCCCGTATCTGAAAAATAGTGCTTTCTAATACTGTATATATGAAGCCAAAATAAAATACGAGGGTTGTCCATAAAATAAGGTTCCCAAGGAGCTGCGGATGCTAGGAACTGGGATTTGTTGAGACTGGCGTGTAACTTAGCTCCCTTTGCCCCAGTTCCCGCCCCAGCGAGGTATCTACAACGTTAATTCTTGTCTTGGTAGCCGTGAAAGATAAAGCTTCCATTTGTTTCTCACGCCAAGTGCGAATTACGCTCTGTGATTTGTTTTTGAGTGCAAAAAACGTTCCTCCGGTGGACATTCATTCCCAACTCTGTAAGGCGCACGGGGAAGAGTGTATGAGTGTGCAAACAGTGCGCAAATGGTGCAGAGAATTCAAAGACGGACTTACAGACGTCCATGACGAACAACATTCTGGTCGGCCATCGTTTTCGGACAAAGCGATTGCGAAAGTGGAAGAAGCAATGCTGAAAGATAGAAGGGTGAAAGTTCGGGACCTCAGCAAGATGATCCCTGTTGTCAGTAAGTCCTGCATTCACAACATTCTGAGAGACCGCTTAGGATAAGCCAAGGTTTGGGCAAGGTGGGTCCCGAAAGTGAGGACGGATGACTATGACAACAAATGGCAACGTGTGGAAGCCGCCTGCGAATTTCTTCATGCCTACGAAACCGATGGCAAGGAATTTTTGGACTCTGTTTTCACTGGAGACGAGATCTGGGTCCACTACATGACACCAGAAACAAAAGAACAATCATGGAAGCATCCATGCTCGCCAAAGCCGAAGAAGTTTAAGCAAATTCTGTCTGTTTTAAGCTATCTTCGCGGAGCGGCGGCAGAGTTCTACGACTCAGGCATAAAGAAGATGGTACACTGCATGTAAAAANTTTCTCAAAGCATTTTCTACATCTTCCTTCTATAAATAAAAATAATTTCACATTAATATATAAATATTTTTTAAAAAAATTAAATCAATTGGTTTCTTAAAAAAAAAAAAATTCATCACTACAAAGGTTTTGAAATCTTCATTATAACATGAGATATTTGAAAGTTTTTTATTGATCATCATAGTTTTAAAATTTATTGCAGATACAATATGCTGTATTGACATGATTCAATTAGCAAAATTAGGTTGGTCTCATTCTGTAATGAATAACCAAAATTAACAAACCTATCATAGAAATTTAAGAGTAGTCCCTAACTATGGGGGATTTCATACTTTCAAGGGTGGAAAGGAAATTAGTATGATTGAACGACAAACTAATGTACGTATCTTTCGAAGAATTGAGGGTATGTTTTTAGTTTTTTGAACTCTCTCAAGAGAAATAGTTCTAAGTTCATTTAGTTTCTTATTTGAATCTTTGGAAGATGAATTTCTGAGACAGAAAATTGATAGTCAAGTATAATGTATATTTGTAGAGAAATCATTCATGGAATTTTGGTATTAATTATTCAAGTCTCACCAATGAGTGGCAAAAATGCTATCAAAGCACAGCTTATGTCAACTTTTCTTAACAAGTAAGGCTTCTCAATTAAGTTACAAAGAAGTGTGTTTAGGAAATAAATTAAAAGTTTTAAAGTGAACAGCCTTCATAAAAGCTGCTCTATGTTTTGACGAAGTAAAATAAAACAATCCGAGACATCCATTAACTGTAATTCACTTTTTTTTCTAATAGTAGAAATTAAATTATAAATTAAGTTTTGGCTTGTCAGAAGGATAGACTTGAAGTAAGATACATAGATATATGATATACAACTTACTCTATATCCAAGTTCTGATAAGAGACGGAAAGCTTTGCTGGCATGAACTATGTCTTTACACAACGGTTTACCACCCTGAAAACATAGACCGTTTTGATAAAATTGATGAGATCTAGCACATATAGAAATAGCACAAAAACAGTTAATTTTCAGAGTTTCTATTAACTAATCAAATGGATTTTCTTTACCACAACAAAAATCGGGTGGCTGTAATTAAAAATAAAATCTTAAGATACCTGCTAGAAATATGCACAGCCAAAATAAATGAAACCAAAGAGGCCATGTGGTTGGAACAGCCATAGATTAACACTATTTACATGAAAAACAATGCGGCAAAGAAGGACTGGAATTCAAAACCAAGCCCTGCGGTCAGAGATTTGAATTGGGTGAAAATATATTTTTTTTACCTTAATTTTTTGGCTAAGATGATCACTGATTGGGCGATTTCCAACCACATCCTTCTTTGAATCATTTTCTGAAGACCACATGGGTTCCGTCCTCTGAATAAATGAAGCAAAAATTAAATGGATCTTCTTTACTTAAATTCAAATTTTTTCTTTAACTACTTAAAATAAAAGAACATTTTCCCACAAAAAATAATAAATATTTTTACTGTTAAAAACATTTTTACTATCTTTATTAATTTATATGGCATTGAAAACTGAAGTAAAATTTAAATGACTTGTAATTTCATTTCTTACTTAAATTCAACAGCAGTAAAAAATAATTTCAAAAAAATTTTTTATCTGTAATTACTTAAACTAAAATAAGAGATAATTTCCAAACAATAAAAAAAATATTTTCACAAGAACTGTTTTTAAAGTACTAATTTCATATATTGTTTTAAAATTAGATAAAATCAGCACAAAGAATTATACAGTAAACTCCTGATTATTTGCAGAGTTGAATGGCGTGATTTTGAAGGATAATTCGCTTCAATGAATGTGTCATAATAATTGCCTGCATCAATATAAACCGCAAAGGTAAAAATTCAAGAATATTTAGTCATTACATGCATCTTAGAGATTTAAAACAAAATAATGATTAATTTATGAAATAAAATAAATTTAATACATACAAAATAAAACCTTATTAACAAATAAAAATTGTAATTGAAGCTGCATATAAATTGAAATTTAAGTTCGTTAAATATTGCAAATTTACATGAATAAATCCTAAATTTTGAATAAAATAAAAAAAAGTTACTTAAGTGAAATTACATAAAAACAAACCAGAATTAAGCAAAAGTATGCGGATTGTGGGAGTAGAGCAGACCAAACACCAAACCAAATTCATTCCATCCCTTTGCTTTGACACCATCAGTAGCTAATCGAGGAAAACTGCATACTTCTCGATAATCGGAAATGGTTAACCGAGTCAGATTTTAGCAGTGACACATTATTGGACCACTCAAGCCCTGAATGTAATTAAGGTTTTTATTCTTAAGAGTTTAGTTCTATAAAAAAAAATCCTATTTTAACTGCAGAAATAAAAATGGATCAGGTCAAAATATTCCAACACAGAAACTTAAACGAAAAATTTTGATCTTGTTGACATGTCAACAAAAGAGTTATGAAATATTGTAAAAGCATGTTGATTGATTGCTTTAGATTCATTTAATTAAATTTAATAAATATGTATGAGAAAATAATAAAAATTTGTTAATAATGAGTCTCCAAATTTCAGAAATATAATTAAAAATATTAAAGTTCAAAAAGGTCTGCAGCAATTTCTATTTTCTACTCAAAAAATTTTTATTATTAGCTCAAAATGTTAAATTATTGTATAGTTTTATTAATAGAGTTGAGTTTCACCATAATTACATAATGCATTTCTTGTCGGTCATTTCTTTTCTTTTTGAAACAATGAATGTTAGGCAGAATACGTGAATAAACAAAGCATTCCAACAGATAACAGTTGAATATTTTGGGCATGATTTGCAAAATTTACTAATTTGTGGTTACCGAGAAATTAAATACTGCAAATGATGAGTTTCCTAAATAATAAATAAATATAAAAAGTTGAGTGACACTTATTATTTTAACACTTCACTGAACAATAGCCTATTAATGGGCACCTGTTCTTACCAAACCATAGCTTAATTATAGGCCGATAATTAAAGGATTTTAGTAAATATAATTATTCCATAAAACAGAATGCAGGCTATTACATTTAAGCATACCAAAAGCAGTTTCAGCTGAAATAGCCAGTGTCTGACGAGTCATAAGCTGTAAAACCATTAGCAGTCAGTAAAGTGTTAAGACAATATTGTGTCTATTGAATACCAGGAAAGAACAGATTGGTGTTACCTGCTTAGCAGGTCCGAGCCAAGAGCTGGTATCTACTTGCCCATCAGCCCAGTTGGCAGCATTTGATTTTGGTTTTGATACCCAACCCATATTGCCAGACTGGTCGTTCCAACTATTGCCATACGATCCACCGTGATTGTTACCATAATTCTTCATTTGGTTGCCATCTTCACTCCAATTGCACATGTTAGGAGAGTCTCTATGAGGAGGCATGTCTTGCCAGTTTGAATTGCGACCGAGCGACGGTTGTTGCTTCCATGTGGCGTCCACTTTGTTACTACCAGGTATTCTGATCATTCCTGGGCCAGAGGGTGGCATATTACTCATATTTGGCAGCATGCCATTAGCACCTACCATGGGGCCAGCAGAATTAATGATGGGCTTAGCACTTGGCATATCCTTCCAGTGTGAAACTTTACCCTGTCTTTGAGGATTACCCCAAACGGCTGTTCCATCATCATAATTGCTGCCCACAGCACGGCGGTTTGGTGGCGGAGATGCTGCAGGTGGTTCCCATCCTGACGGTGGCATTTCTTTCTTAGGAGTTGCCATAGGAGACCAATTTGCCGACGGACGCCCTCTGCCATTGTTCCAAGAAGATAAATCAGGAGTTGGACATGCACCATCTATAAAAGATTTTAGCAATATAACAATAAATCATGAAAAGCATAAGCTAACTCAGCATTTTAAAGATTCTAATAATAACTACATAGATTGTCTGCTACATTATCCTTAAATATTTCAACCGGTAACGATCTAGAAGTATTTTCCTTTCAACAGGCATAATTACAATTAAATTGATTGCAAATATAACAACAATAGGTGTGATGAAAACAATGAAGTCAATATATTTCACTACCAAAAAATGTAACTTGACTCACCTGCCCAAGAAGGATTACCACTCCAGTGCTTTTCAGTAGGAGCAGAGTTACCCCACATGTTGCCACTGTTATTGCCTCCACTTGCAGGATTAGGATCTGACCAGTTGGCAGAGTTAGGATTTGTGTTGGGTGGACCACTCCATGTACTTGAGGATGAATCATCATCACCCCAATGTCCTCCTATGTTTGTAGCAGGTGTGTGACCCCAAGGTGGAACATTGGTAGTCGGTGGTGGAACAGTCAATGTTCCACTTCCCTTGTTGACACGCAAGTTATTTTCCCAGATTTCAGTACCTTGGTTGACAGGGGCACGCCACACTTGAGAAGGAGCAGGAGGAGGATTGTCTTTACCCGATTCTACTGGTGGATCAGGAACATCCCAAGGTGTGTCCTGATTAATAGGCTATGGAAAAGAAGTCTTACATTATAAAACAGCAAAAATGCATTAATCAGACATGCTGGAGAAAAAAAAAAGCTGAACTTGCGTGGTTTCAAGTTTTCAAAATCACTCATTTAACTATAACACTCTAGTCTGGAAAATAAAATTCCCTGAACATATATACTATATGCAGTATATTAAGAGAAAACACACAATCACTGCACTCTTGTGTGAGCTATATTGGGCTAACCATACTACCTAGTTTTAATTGCTGAATAAATTACTGGAATACTAAATTAATTTAATTACTGGAAATAATTTAGAATAGCTGAAATATCCCATAGATTGTGCTTTGAGTGGCCACCATTATTTAAAAGACGAAAATACGAAATTCTCTTCATTTTCCCTGTTATTTTAGATGATTTTGAAATTCCCTGTTATCACAATTAAATCAAAATTTAAATTATATTAAATAAAAATTCACTTTATAAGAAGTTCGAGCATAATAATATAAATATGTACACTATATAAGATTCTTCAGCTAGTTGTTTTATGATGCCTTTACTTATTAAAATCTCAATTTTAAAATAATTTCTTACAAAAATCCAATCTGAAAATTCAATTTTCTTTTAAAAATTGGAACTTTGTTAAAAAAATTCTTTTTAGTGTTTCACTAGTTAAAATGTAATTAAACCTTAAATCAGTTTACAACTACAACTTGGATTAAATTTATTTTAAATGAAGTGAATAAAAAGAAAAATGTAAATTTTTGTAACTATCTCACAAGATTTGATTAGATTTTCTAAAAAGAGTAAATAAGTATCTGACACACACCCTTACAAAGAGAGGAAAATTTTGAATTTTATATTCATCTATGTTACTGACAAAGTACGAAACCTCAGAATATATCAATTCTATAGGATGCCGGACATTTCTAGGCAAATATTAAATATACACACATCTGCCAATAATGATTGGGATATAATTTAGTCATGGTCATCAATACAATACACAGAAATACTAATAAAAGCTATTTTCTCTTCTTTGATACAGTTTCCAGCAAAATTGCTGATGTTTTTGTTCTTTCACTCAATGTTCAGCGATTTTGAGTCTGAATCATTTTAAGCAATGACTGCTCACCATTATCGGTACAACCGATTCGCAAATTATGTTGTTGGGCAATGAATGTTGTAAGTAAACATTCAGCCTTAGTAACAGCTTTATCATTATTGTTGAAAAAGAAAGATAAAGCGTTTTATTCTTTCACAAGCAGTAAAATTTTTTTATGCTTTGTTGTACCGAAAGAGCAATAATATCACTCATCATCTCCATGCGCACTGTCGGAATCTGATTAGTACAGAATACACAATGCAAAATTTTTATCTTTTTTTCAATTTCCGAATAAAATCAATTTTTTTTTAATAACTATTTTTAAAAAAAAAAATTATAGTAATACGTTTTTTTAATTGTTAAAAGTATGAACGATCCAACAAACAGATCCAAAAGAAAAGGAACATTTCTCTCAGTTGTCATTAGATCAAAATGTTTGATAAAATATTGTACAATGTTGCAAAGTGGCTCACTGATCTTCACTAAGCATGCACTCCCACTTACGCACTGATACGTTTAATAATTTTTCAGTGCACTTTGTTGATCATGTGATTGAAAAATACATGAAATTTGATTGGTACTTTTAGGCACGCTATGGTTTTTTTTAATTTTATTTATTTATTTATTTATTTTTTTGCACAAATTAAAGTAGTAGCGCACCCATATCAGATTTATCAACAAGATTAAAAAAGTAGAAAAATCAGAAGAAATTAATTAAAAACAGAAGAATTGTTAAAAGATCTTCTGAGTAAACCAGAAGAGTTGGCAGTCATGCAAATGCTATTTAGGGAAAAGCATGACGTGCATTCCACAAAAATACAAATGCTATTCTGAAGAAGATGAGAAAAACCGAAAGAGCCATTAAAAAATTTTATTCTAAATACGTGAAGAAAAATGAAATTTGTACTAAACAAAATTTATACCTTTCTCATTCAAAAAAAAATTCATAAATAAAATAAATTAAAATCAACATCCTTGATGTAACATAAGTTTGAATGAAATTTTGAGTTACATTTCATCACATTAATAAAGTGGAGATGTATCATACTTTGCTCGTTGAGAGTGCCAAGGAAATGTGTTAATTATTGTTTTATTCATTGACCGCTATTTTAAGTTTTATATAGAATGCGGGATTTCAAACTATGTTTGTAACTTATAATATTATTTAAAAGTCTTCCAAATTCAGAAGCAAAATTTCAGATAGAATAAATAAGATACTTCAATGAGTTGCATATTATTTAAGGATGGTCCCTCAGTTTAACATTAAATTTTTGTAATTTTAGAATAAGAGTTATAATTGAAATCAGAAGGAAAAAAGTATCACATCATATTGATAATAGCATACGTACAACTACTCCCCATCCTTCACTAAAAGCTGCTTTAACTCTCAAATCTTTCGCTTCTTTCTCAGCCAGATCCCTTGCAGTAGGAGGCAAATCTTGCTGCATACTTGATGAATCAGAAGGGATTGGAGCACCACTTGTACTGCAAGGAGGATTCAAACCTTTACCTGCAGCTTGAGCCCAAGATCCTTGAGGTGGTTTATTAGTTGGTGTACCTGCAAAATTATCTACACATTATTTATGGAGCAATAACTGAGTCATAAAAAAGTACCAGATTGTTTTTTCTAAAAAAGAGAGAAAATGAACATACCAGGATTTGATCCTCCACTTATATCACCACTATTCTGTCGATTTCCTCCCCAGGCAGCATTTGTTTGGCCCTGATTAGCATTCCAATTGGCTGTCCCCATAGAGCCTTCACCTCCACCTAAAAGACCGAGACGGGGCATTTGCATCGAGCGTTGATTGTTGGCATTGAAACTATTATTTCCATTGGCAGATTTTTCATCTGTGTAGTTGTCAGCACTACCTGCTCCAAGGATACCTGGAAATGAGTTTTCGTTATCGACGATGTTGTCTTCTTTTGGGGCAGAGCTATCACGACCCCCGTGAATACTTCTCCCAATCACAGGTTTAGCATCATTCCAATTGTTTGAGGAATTAACAGAAGTATTCATATTTTGCCACGAATATGGAGATTCTGAGTTGGAGTCATTTTCACAACCGTAGTTTTGACACTTGGATTTTTCAGATGAATTAAACTGAGCACCGTAAGAAGGATTCTGATTAAGAACTCTGGTTGATTCGTTGTGCGGTCCATTGCTGCGATAGACTCCAGTTCCACCTGAGAAACTGCTTCCTCCGCTATGACTAGAAGTAGCATCATTGCTGTTGTACCTTGCTGCGGTTTCCATTGTATGTACAGTAGTTTGCATTCTATAAGCTGATTGGTAAGAAGAAAATGTCTAGGATTCTGAACACCTTTGATTAGAATAAATACTCCCTGATGACAGTCGCCAACACAAAAGACAATGATTGTGCACTTTGACTATTGCTGCCTGTTTTAGAGTTACTTTGGACAAAGAAACTTCTAACACTTGGCATGGAAGAACCGTAAGGGCGACTCGTTGCTCCAATGTATGGCGACCTAAGCAGTGGACACACTGGTTTGAGGAAGGAACGGCAACGACAGGATCAGTTGTAGCACCCAGCACACCAAAGGTTTGAGCTAAATATCACAGACAGAATTTAGGGGTTTAGGGTACTAGCAACACCTGCCTTTGCGCACACATTCACATTTCTCTCACCATTACATGGACTGGTTTGCCAACAGCAACAAACAATAACTCCATTTGACAATGAATAGCATTAACTGAAAGAAAATATAAAAATTTATAAATAAACTGTAAATAACAACCCTAAATATCAAGAACATTATTTTGAGAAATAAAATAAGATTTGCAGTAGCAATTTAATTATTTTCCATATGTTTATTCTGAATACCTTTGCGAATTTAATTTTAAGATAACTAAGAATAATTTTGATGCATTTTTTTTTTTGGTCCTCCACCTTTTAATGTGATGATTCAGGGTAACCCAATGCTCTAACTTGAGCCTTTTCAATCACTACCCTTGATTATTGAAAAGTAACTGCTGAACGTTTTTAGATGAGCGGCCTGCCCTTTGATCCCTATAAATGCAATCTCTTTGCCCTTTTTTGTAAAAATAAGCTGTCATCCTTTAAAAGCACTTTCATTTATATTCCATTTTGAAAGAAAAATTTATTCACTGTTTAAATAATAATTACACACTGGTAAAATTATCTGTGTTTATAGGTTAAATTCTAACTGCTATTAGGAATATTTACTTTATTCTAATTATTCTCAACTCGTTAAGATTTTATAAGTATCACTTTTTTAGGGAGAAGGAAGTATTAATAAATTTTTAAATTATTTAAAATTTTGAAATCATTTTTTTTTTCAAAAAAAAAAATTCATTTTTTAATTTTTTTTTCTTCTTATAATTACTTTATACAAATATGAACTTTTTTCTCTTTTTTTGGAAATTTTTTTCCCTTTCAATTGTTAATTCCTCATAATTTTCAGCTTCAAATATAGAAAAAAAGGCTATCAAATTGCTTATCAATAATTTTATAATTTTTTTAGTGTATACTTCATTTTGAAAAAATTTATGCACAGAAACTGTCTTTTAGCTTGCCTTTAATTATTTTTATAAACTACGAACTTTTCTCATATTTTAATAATGAGAAAAAATTATTTTTAGTACTAATTTAGCATAATACAGAAATGAGAGTAGTTGGAAAGTAAAAAAGAGGAAATTCAAGAATGAATGAATATATATATATATATATACAGTGTTTTCATCATAGAAAGAAAATGGGTGAGAATTTCTCACCCTTTCTCAAAAACAGGGTGAGATTTCAGAAAGTTAAGTGAGATTTCTAAAACCTGAAAAAATACAAATAGACTTGAAAAAAAAATTTCTTTTATTATAATACATTTTTAACGCCTTCTATTTTTTAAAGCATTGAATATTTTTGCTGCATCATCATAGAAAATTTTGCCTTTACTAGGTATTTGTCCATCTTACATTAGTGCATAAAAAAATTTGAACGTCTTACAAGAAAAAACCATACCTACAGTAAACACGTGGTTGCAGAAAAATGTGTTCTGAAAGGGGTTCCGTGGTTCGGAGGGGTTGTCCTCTGTTGTTCGAAAAGGTTCTGAACAATACTAGTAAATAGGGAAGCTAGATAACGGGGCAAGAATTGAAATTAATGAAGATCCAGGAAGAAATGTGAAGCGGATTTTATTCTAAAAGACGTAATTCGAATCTTTTTCCAAAATGCGAGAAATTCGCGAATTTTGAAATTAATTTATAGAATGCGCGAATTTCTCGCGGTGATCATTTTTTAATGCGAGAAAAGAAAAAAATATNAATATGAAACTCTATATCGAATTTAAAAAATGTGAAAATACAAATCATGATGCGTAACTTTTAGATCACGTACATACGAATCACAATGCTTAATTTTTAAATAGCACGAATACGAATCCCACAGTCTAATTTAAGCTCGCGTAAATACGAATTACTACATAGGGTTTTAAAAGCGTGTAATTACAAAGCGCGATATTGGATTTTTAAATCTCGTAAATAAGAATCGCAATGTACGACATTTAAATCGCCTGATTAAGAATCGCAACGTTAAACTTTTAAATCAGGTAAATATGAAAATCAATGTTTGAGGGAGGAATGAGGACTTCAACACTTTCGCTTCGCGGAAAATTTAATTCCTCATAAAATATTTTAACTTGTGCAAAAAAAAAAAATTTTCAGCGGAAATTAGCGGGGAAAATGGAAAAATATGAAAAAAAAGGGGAAATCTGCAAATTCGCGGAAGAATCACATCCCTGATAATATCAAATGACTAATTTAGCATATATCAAAATGTGTTACATCATGTGATAGCTGAATTTGATTCTCAATTTTTAAACTACCCTCTTAAACTATTCTATGTATCTCACTCATTATCAAAATAACAGAAAAATTTGAAGATTTTGAAAAATAATCACAGGATTAAAGACAATCTCGGTTCTCTTCAAAAAATTTAAACTAAAATAATAATAATAATAATTCATTGATTAATAGCTTTGAAACTTTTATTTATATTTTACAATACTGGAAATTATGAAAAATTAAACAGATGTGCACTTTTATATAAAAGGTATTTATTTTTTTAAAAAAAAGGGTAAAATTTAAAACCACTAAAAAATTTATTAATATATCCACCACCCAAATAAAAGATGTGAATATCTCTGGGGCAGGAAATATTGTGTAAATTTTAACTGTATAAGTAGACATCAAAAGAAAAATCTAATTAAAATTAAGGATTAAAATTTTAAGCTAAATGAATATTAATAACTACTAAATATCAATAATAATCAGTAGTGAACTTTTCATTAAATCAGGTGGTTATGATAACATTTTCCTGAACAAATAAAATAAAAAAGGTATTTTTAGGGGATGGCAGCTTATTTTTACAAAAAGGGCAAGAAGGGTGCATTTCTAGGGATCAAAGGGCAGACGAGGAGGGCCGCCCTTTTAAAAACGCTTAGGTAGAACACTGATAAAAACTATATACATAAAACTGGTTCAAACTGGTAGAGGGACATCTAAAGAACACCTCTACAAAAAAATTTAAGAATAAATTTTAAATTTCTATTGATTATGAATTATTTTCGGAGGTAAGGTAAAGTTGGTATATGGTTAGGCAGAGCAAAATGTTGTATGATAGGTAGAGATATTTTTTTTACGTGTGTCAGATTTCATATTTAATAATAAAATAGCTCAAAAATTATTTACTTGTTTGATTATAAGCCCTACATGTAGGGCTTATATTTTTATATATTCAGTATATTTTATAAAGAGAAGAATGATAAGGAAAATCTCATATTATACAATTAAAAAAATTACCCATTATAGCATAATTAATGGTACAATTTAGTGAACATATTTAAAGATATAGATGAGTTTTCACCAAGTTTCTGCCTTCATATGGCAGTTTCTTCACGGTAAAGAAAACAATTTCCTTAAATTAACTAAATTGAATCAAAATATGTCTGCTATAAAAAGTAAAAAACATGAACATATTACCACTATAAAAATTAATTTTTACACTATTATGTATATTTCAAATATGGCTAAAATTATTACACGTTTTTTGCTTTTTGATGAAATTAAATAGAGCTCCGCAAAATATACTGTATCAGGTATGAAAGTGGACAAAAATAGAAAAGGCTGAACTGTTACAACACAGAAATAGTGAGGTGGGGGAGGGGCAGAGATATGTGATATCAATAAGATATATAAAAACATAGCTTCTAACTCTGCCGTGAGATTTTTATTTTATATAAAATGTGGCAGAAACATTTAGACAGTGAAATTTAAATGTTTCTTAAATATTATTTTAAACTTCTTTGTCCACTACTATATTAAAGAAAATTAAGCAATGTGCAATGCTTAATAATCATTTCAAATTAATTGCCAGTCAATCATTTTAAATTAAAATAGTTGCTAATTTTCACCTCAATATCTTCTGGTAGATTGTTACTACGTCTTAGTCATTTTTGACTGTCTTATTTTAACAATCAAGCTTGAATATATTTTTTCAACAGCATCGATAGTACACACTTTGTGTTCGCATATCGAATTGACTTCAATCGTTAAAATACATTCATCTTACTATGCACCACAGGAAAAAGGACACAAGTAAACGAGAAACAACTAGGTGCATGGACAAATGCAGAAAAGGCCAAAAAGAAGAACTAGCAGTTACGTTTAGAAAACTACTTTTTTAGAACATTGTCGGAAATTTCAAGAACTGAAAGAAAAAAGCGGAGGTCTTTCATCCCTGTGTATTCAAAGTGAAGCCTAATTTTAATAAGCATTAACTCATGTTCATGGTATTCATAATATAAATAAATATTTTTTTGCCTTTTATATTTTAAATATAATCAAGATACATTTATTTTAAAAACATTTTTAAATCTTAGCCAATATTCACATAGGTTTTTTTTAATGAGATATATACCAATTTTATAACTATATCATTTTACTCCACTCTGGGATAAAATAGGCATATTGAAACATGTTTTATTGAATGCATTAGTATAAGAAAATAATGAAACAAAATATATAAGTTAGGTACGTTTCAGATTTAATTTATACGAATCCAATGTTTATAAAATGCATCAAAATTTTTGATGAAATAAATTTAAGTTCGATTTTAGAGCCTTCTCTAAAAAAAAAAAAGCTTAATTGAAAAACCCACTTTACTCCACCTACCTTTTATGAAGTTTGAAGCCTTAAATTTTATGTGATAAACACTGCTAACTGATATCAAGAAAAATTTACATTCTATTTGCTCAACCAACTTAATAAAGCAAAATTCAGGTTTAAAAAAAGAACTGCTTAAAAATTATATAAAAAATTATAAACATAACAAAATGTTACTTTTAAGTTATGGTTTTAAAATGAACTTACTTGTTAAGAGTTAAGCTTACAGAAAATATCTTCTTACAAAAAGCTGCCTCTTACTTGTTCTTTAAGATTACGAAATTGCACTTTCCCAACTTAAATATCTAAAGAGAAAAAAACAGTCAAGAAAGATATTTTCACATTGAAACACACACTGAAAAGCTTTTCAATAATTTTTCAGTAAATTTAGAACTATTAGTACAAAATTCATAAGATCAAAGTTGACCTGATTTAAATCAACTGTGATTTTTTTTTTTAATAAAAAACGTTTTATAAAAAAAATCTGCAAATTTAAAACTTTCAGTGATTGTAATTGGCACATCAGATTATGATAAGGAAATACCCCATTTTTAAAAAATATGTGGATATTTTTGTACTGTAATACGTAGCACCAATGGGGTACAATTGCAAGGCCCTAAATGGATTTTAATTTCATTGAATGAATAATTTCTAGCAGGTCGTAGCCCAAAAGTTGCTAAGACTAGGCAATTATTCTGCTGTAGATCTCAATAGGGATATCTTCTCAAAAAAATGTGAAGAAATAAATATAAGAGCTGCAGGGCCTGAGAAAAGGATTTCAAATTATTAGCCTGTAAATTAGCCAAATATCAAAAGTATTCGCCAATTTTCAAGTCTTTGTCAAATGCAAATCTTCACAATTTTTTATGATTGGTTTTTTTCTCATAGAAAACTATTTTACAGCAGTTTGTTTCAGGTTTATATTATTTTTACTCGAATTGGTTATGTGGCGCACCAACCGAAAATTACTGTAATCGAATAAAAAATACTGTGTTGTTTAGAAAAATTAATTTGGAGGATCGAGTTAAGATATATATTTTTCTTTCCAGTGGAAAAAATCATTCGCCAAATTTACGATTTAATCGCATTTGGCGAGGTGGCGAATGCTTAACGCGGGCCTTGGAATTGCTAAATTCTTTATTTTCACTTTTTTATTATATCTACTTATTAAAATAAATAATAGTTTCTTTGCATGAAAACTGATAACAAAGAACTATTTTAAGTCAAACACTTTACAATTTAGAAAAAAAATGTAAAAAGATAAATATGGAACTATTAAATTCCATATTTTTCACTTTTTTTTTAGATCCATTTGAATAATTAATAGTTTAAGTCAAATTTAACATGTCATTCTCTCCTAAAATAATCAATTTTTTATAAGTCTTTTTATAAAAAAAAAGTTTTATACAAAAAAGTAAAGAAAATTTAAGAGGAGACCTATAAATAATATTTTATAAAAAAAAAATTATAATCTTATTTGCTCAGAGTAACAACAGATCGAACAGAAAAAAATAATAAAAAAAAGCTTCCCCCCCAGCTGCCGTAGAGGTAGAAAAAGTAGTTCCTAATGTTGAGCGATGAAGCAGAGATGGCAGCCAAAAGTAGCAGTTCGGTTCGAACTGAGTTACATATAAACATCTAGAGAGACAAAAATCTGAGGCAAAGAAATTGCGACACGGGTATCGACAACGAAAATGCTAGGGATTTACTAGGTTACATTACCTCCATAACTGGCAAAGCTAACGAAAACATAATCCCACCCTCCCTTAAGTCTGGGAAAAATGGACTTACCTTATCAATAGCTTCCAAAAATGCTGGCAAAAAACACAGACACGAGAGCGTTTTATTTACATATTTTTAAGCGATCCCTATGAAAAAAACGGAGTTAATACCGTATCACATTAAGCTCAAATGGGTTTGAAAGAGTTATGAAGCGCTGATCTATAAGTACAACTGTACCTTGCAAAAATATTGACGCAAAATCCCACATAGTATTACGATTTTCGCTCAGCGCTCGATAAATGCTGTAGTCCCCCTTCAACGCGGCGGCGATAGGGTTGCTAAAACATTTTTCGAGACACTCGCCACGTAGGTTGTTTCAGACTTCGCCAACATCGTTGACAGATTGAACCGCCTTCACAACGAGAGGACTAATGTTAAATATTCATTCAAGTTAATATATTACGTGGAACACGCGTATTGCAACTGTGCTCGGATTAAAAAATAAAAGCAAAAAATTATAATGCGTTAATTATTTTGTCAAAAAATATCGATTAAATAAAATAACTAGCAAGTTAAATACAGATCTGCCAGCATGGATAGGAAAAAATCCAGTAGATTTTACAAAATAATATAAATTTCCTGATAATTGTTGCATAATGTAGTAAATATTTTACATATAGGGTATTTAAGGGATTTTTAGTCATCGAAAGACTGCAATATTTTCCAATTATGATTGACATTAAATGAACTTGGAATGTTATGTATTATGTTTACTCATAATTTTGAATGATAATAGGCATCTAATTAAAAGATAGTTTAAAGACTTATTAATTTAAAAAGGAAAATAAAAATAAACTAAATATTTTAGAACAAAAGGAAAGTTTTAAACTGATTTTTTATAAATGAAGCTCGCTTCTTAAAGTATTCAAGCAAGCAATAATCTGCCCAAATATTCTATTTCAAAAGGGATTTTTTTAGGAAACTTACTCAATTTTAGGAAATTTTCTAAAATTCACAAAAACCAGAATTTTTATTAAACCAGTAGAGTTGGCAGCTATGCATATATAATAGGTCAAAATTAACGTCGTTAAAAAAATGTCAGCTCAGGCCATTCTTTTCGTCGAAAATACACCACATGCGCATTTTATTATTTTAATAAAAAGGAACTACTACTATGTTTATTTTTGTAGTTTTCTGAAAATTATACTCCATTTCACGCTTGTTTCTAAAAAATTTTCCTTGTTGTAGAAAAGAAACCTTGTAGTTAGTGATTACCGAATGCTTCAAAAGAATAGCCTTTTTAATTATCTAAAATATTAAATTTTTGAAAAAGGGGAAAAGAGAACAGATGGCCTGTTCCAAACTAACCAAAAATAAAATTTTCACTATGTTATATAAACTGTAATTTTTATGAAATAAAAATATATGAAAAAAACTAACAGTTAATAGCTACAGAAAACAAGCTAACAATTAATAACTAGCAAAAACAAAAAAATAACTCTTACTAACTAATCAAAAATTAGTCGAAAGAAATAATTAATCTCTTAATACTTAATAAACGTGCTTTTGTAGTAAATATAATTTTATTTCACATTCAAAATTATTATCACAAACTACTTAACACAGTGTGTTATAGACAACTTTCAAACTAATTTTTCTCATTGTGTGCCATCAAATTTCGAAATCGTTAAGTGTGCCGCCACAAAAAAAGGTTGAGAATCACTGCTTTTATGATTGAAAGACGTTTTATTGTTTAACAACACAGGCTGCACAACTTGTCAATCTCAATGTGTGGACCTCACAATCCAGTTCAAAAAAAAATAAGATATCATGGAGTTGCATAAATAAAATTTATAATTGTTCTGTGAATAAATTGCCACACTTCATCTTAAAAGCAAATCATTTACAAATTTTTTATTGAAAAATTTTTGCGATGATGAGATTAATTCATAATTTTTTTTTCATAATTTTAATTTGAAAATAGAATCTTATTTTCAAACATTTACGAAAACAAAACCATTAAAATAATGACTGGACGCAACGCCGTTTTTTGTAGTGCTTCCAATACAAAAGGTTATAGAAACAGAACCGCCTTTTCAGAAATTCTTAAAATTTATAGGTAAATAGTTGACGAAAATTTTACATTTTCGAAAACTCACTATAACTTCTCAGCAATAAATAACAGTATTCCCAACATTTTAGTTTATTGCTTCAGTTAAACAACGCTAGAAAAGGATTAGTTAAAAAAACAGTAATCGGTAAGCATCTTTTTTAAACTCTTCTCTGACTTGTTTTCAAACAAAATAATTCGAACACAAACATTTCTTCAATTCGTGAGATAAGAATACGGTTTTTTTCCCCTTTCAATTTTTATCTATTTTATCAACTTGACCGACTTAAATTTGCTAAGTAGAGACGTAGCGAATTGCAATCAGCCAGCAAGCATTTTAATTGTTTCCAAAGAATAGCTCTTAAATTTTCTATTTCTTGACATTTATATATATTGCTAGATATCGTTTTATAACGCGAGTGAAAAACATTTTGTAGGGGATTTTTTTTTTTCCGCTTCATTTTCTGAATTGTAGAAAATTTTTTGAAGCATACAAAAACCAGGAAATTTTTTCTATTAAACTATTAGACAAAACTGGCAAAATGTAATAAGATTTGGCAGCTATGCCACCTTTTAAATTACAAAGTGAAAAAAATAAAATGAGTAAAAAATATCTAATTAGGTAAAGACATTTTTCATGGTAGAGGTAGGTACTTTATTTACGTTGCACTAGAGCTGCACAATGGGCTATTCGACGGTCTGGGGCACATCCCCGAGAGTGATCCGAAGACATGCCATCGCAATTTCGATCCTCTGCAGCTTTCGTAGCGCAACGACCTGCCCGCGAAGTCGAACACTTGACGGTAGAACAGGACTGATACCGAGCACCCTCGATCCCTATGCAGACTGATCGAAGTGTCACCCACCCGCTTACAAATAACAGAAGTTATTCTGATTCTTCTGAGAAATTATGAAAAATCTCTACAATTTTGTGAGAATAGGGTTCTGATTTAGAGAAAAATCACGAAAACTATAAGAGGCCAGTTTCTAAGAGAAATTAACTCATAATTTTAAGAACATGTGAAAAAAGGGTTCTGTTATAGTGAGAGAGGGGAAAAAATCATGTTTTTCATAAAGTTTAAGTTTTAAAATTAAGAATTAATAGCGTCATTGACTGTGATTTTCAAAAGAAAAGTTTTGACAAGGATCCGTTTTCTCAATAAAATTTGTAAAGTGTCAGTTTTTACTATAAAATTCATCCCGGTGGGCACATTTTTACTATAAAATATTTTGCAAAGGGTTAATACTAAGTTTTACCGTAATAAAAAAGTATCCTAATAAAATACTTTGCCAAGAGTTCGTTTAAACGATAAGAAAATATTGAGTCCGTTACAGAATCTAAATTTCTCCTAAAATGACCCTTTAATATAATGATTACAATTTAGATATCAACCAGGACAACCTACATTTTGATTTTCATTTCCAATCCTCTGAAAATAAGATTGAGGAATTTACAGACATATTTATGAATTG